TCAGACGAAGGTGCCTTAGCCCAAAAGAAAGTCCTTGACATAAATCTCCCCACACACCAATAAGTGAACCGCCACCCGAAAGTTCTATCAGGCAACAGGAGAACATCCCTCTTTGTTTCTATTTGTTTGCTTATTTTAAAAATCTACCAGTTAAAGATACTTATATAGTTTTAAGCAGCTCATAATGTTTTACCCTGTAATAATCATAGTAGTGAGCATCATTTCAGGTGGAATCACTTGCATAATTACTAAGCCATGTCAATATTTCTCTGTTTGGTAACAGGAAGAAAGATAACACCCTCCCACCCTGGAAGCTAGTTAGCTAATGTGGACACTGGCTGACCACACCGGTTTCCAGATGCGGGGAGCGCTTCCGACTCACTGCAGTTTGTCCAACGCTCTCACTGGTGTTCCCTCTGGGGAGAAGTCCCGACAATCACTTAGGAGTTGGGGGCCCTTCAGGAACAGGGGAGGCTGGAGAACAGGGCACTGAGGCATGGACCTGCAAGGTCCTCCTGGACTCGGTGCAGTGTCCTCAACATTCAGAGCAGAGGGCTTGCCACCTGGTGGACAGCTGACTGTGGACTACAAGGGGGGACATGAGGTCCCCTTTGATGGCTCAGAATGAGTCAGGCAAATCCAAACCATGATGGTCCATTTACCCCGATGGTCATTTTTACATTCCATTTATCATGGCAGCAGCACAGAGTGGGAAATGTCCTGGAAAATCTGGAAACTACCAGGAGCTAAGGAAATGTCCCCACAGTCTGGTTTGAGTAGTGATTGAGAACGAAGTTTCACCATCTCCTCTTTCCCACAGTTCACAGGGCTGCGGCTCCTTCAGAATCGGTCCCACAGGTCCACTCCCAAACACTGTCTTCAGCTCCTTCTGACGGAGGAGTCCGGCACAGGAGCCAGTGAGACGCTGGACAAAGGAGGCACTGAGACATCCTCAAGGTTCCTAAAGTTGCCAAACTGAAACATTCTTAGATCTGATTGAGGAAAGTGCTGTGCTGCGGGGAGCCACCAGGCCACAGCGAGGATCACCGAGCACGTACCCCTGCAGCTGCAGATGCTGGCACCTCTCCTCAGCAGGCTCAGCCAGATTTCCAGAGGCATGTGTGCTGTGTGGTCATGGTGGCCGCGTGTGGCTACGGAGCATTGGGGATTGGCCGGCCCGAGGCGAGCCTGCTGTGAGTATGAAAGGCACCTGGATCTCCACAGCTTTAGATGACAAAAAAAACCCATGAGACATCTCATTATGATCTTGTGTTGGCAGGTCAAAAGGAGAATACTGTGCATGTTGGAGTCAAATACAACGTTTTTAAAACCAAATTTGCCTGTTTCTTTTTGCTCTTTAAATCTGGCTGTGAAATGTCTTGAAATTACGCATGTGACTTGAGCTGGGCACGTGGAGGGAAGCGGGCATGGTGTTTCTTCAGTGGCCTTCTCCAGGTCTGACAGCTGGCAGCCCCACCACAGGGCCTTCAGCCTCAGGTAGGACCAGCCGGTGGCGGGTGGATGTCCTAGTGGGTGGGCTGAGACTCCAGGCAGAGGCCTGAAAGCTGGTTGGAGCTCCCAGAGTTCTGGAGTGCAGAGTGGCCAAGGAGAGGACGTTTACCCCAGCGGTGTGACAGCTCTAGTGTGGGGCCAGCTGGCCAGGGCTAACCACATCCCCAGTTGTCTTGTCATGGTCCTCGATCAAGTGGGCCGCCGACGCTGTTCTCTCCTGAGACTAGGGACTGAGGTGCCCAAGAAGTTGAGGAACACTTCCCTCTGGAATCTCAGAACCCTCTGGACTCCAGGCCTTCGCAACAACACAAACGGAGCAGGCGGCCATGATGGCCAACAGGCCAGGCCCAGAAAGCCACGGACTGCACGCTGTTGCCCATACACAGAATCTAAAAACCAGCTGTTCTCATGGTAGGAGGGAAAGGGGGTCTTCACGTGCATCAGAATATTATATAATGCCCTATAAAATCATACAGATTTTGTGCCAATTGAGTAAATAAATTGAATGCAAAAATACATACTGATGAATGACAATGTTTTCCAGAATATGAACTGATTTAAAAGGAGATTTTATATTTGAATTCAAAAAGGCACTATGCCTACACTTTTTAATTTAGTTGTGATAAGAAATGTGTTTTAATTGTGTTTGACATAGACATTGTATTAAAAAGTCAGAAATCAAAGTAGGCCAAGAACAATGTGGCTTTGTCTTATTAAAAAAAAAAAAAAAAAAAAAAAGGGCATCTCAAAAGTATTGCTGTGTCTTTCATCTACTTGAGGCCAGGAAAACACATCCTGTCTGAGAACACCCTCGTGGAACTGTTCCCACACAGCAGGTCACTATTCCAGAAACTTAGAGTGGTAACTCCGCAGCAGCTGAAGACTGCCGGGTGATGATCAGCCAGCATCCAGTCGGAGCCGCAGGAGGGGCCATTCGCTGGGAGGGGAGGGCAGGAGGGATGCAGCCAAGGACCCCCGAGCAGAAAAGCAAGCCCAGCACACCACAGGACAACCAGCCCAAAGAAGGGGCTTCCCTCCTGTCACGTGATTAACTAGGACAGGGACAGTGATAAGAACGAAGTCAAAACACTCCCTGGGTGTGGAGAAAAGGAGCCATTGCTCCCCCCTCACACCACCACTAGGGAAAATGTGGAGCTCCTCAGGACAGTAAATCAGTAGATCCCGCTGTGGTCCAGGACCCCAGGGATGGACGTACACCCAAAGGGATGAAACCAGGGCGTGAAAGGGACACTTCTGAGTTCATTGCACACTATTCACAACAGCCTAGAAGTGGAAGCAGCCTAAAGGACCATCAGTGGAGGAAGAGGCAGAGAAAACGGGGTCCACGTACACCACAGAGCACTATTCAGCCACAGAAATAATGCAGTGCTGTATGTGCTACAACCCAGGCGAAACTGGACGTCCTGAGGTCAATCGAAGCCAGGCAGGCCCAGAAGGAGGGACTGCAGGTCTCACTTGTAATAGGTGGTGAAACAGCAGGTCTCAGGGAGGTGGTAGAACAGTGGGGAGGAGAGGCCAGGAGGGTCGGCCAATGGGCGCGGCGTTGGTGTCAGACAGGGGAAGTTCTGCAGGCCAGGGGCCAAGGGTCAACTGCAGGGAATGATAATTTACCGTGCATTCCTAAGAGCTGGAAAAAAGGGGTTTGAATGTTCACCTCATAAAGAAATGATAAAGGTTTAAGGAGACAGACAAGTATATGCCTGATTTAAAACTTAAACAATGTATCCATGTACTAAAATGCTACACTATATCCCATAAATACATGCAGTTTATATGTTTTCATGTATCAGTTAAAAATACATTTAAATTTGAAAAAGACTCCTCCTCAGTCTGTCTGTAAGAGTAAGCCGTGGGGCTGGAGGCTGGCAGGACTCCAGCTTGAGCCGGGTGGAACAGGTCCTCCCACAGAGGAACAGGCCAGGAGCACCTGAGGCCAGGGCAGCCATTTGCTTAGGGAGGGTATTGGGAAATGGCCGAGTCACGTTGGACTTCAGCACAAAGAAAGGAGATGGCATGGATCAGCAAATAAAAACAAAAATAGAATATGGACAAGAATCTTCTTTGCATTACTCCTCCCTACCAATTTAAAAGTAACAAATATTTAAAAACACACACATTTACTATTTGTGTAATCTGGAATTTTAAAATGAAGAGGAACATTTCCATTAAATAAGGGCAAGACACTATTAAGAGAGAAGGGCCGTTTTCTCATGGGTAAGTCCGACTCCTGGGACCTACCACTTATTCATACCTGATGACCTCGTGCATGGCCACCACTCAGGGGAACATGAATTTGGTAGGGTGTCTTTGAAAGCTTAGCAATCTTGCTTTAATAGTGGGAGGTACACAAAGTAGTCTAATGACAAAATCCTAAAGGCACAGGCTTGCATGTTTTCTTGCTCAGAGACAGGAGCTTCTCTGTGAAGCAGCCCGCGAGCCCTGGCCCACCTGCCACGGGAACGTCATGGCCAGTGCTAACCCTCTCCCAGGCACTGCAGTATGTGGTCTAGGAGGGGTGAGCAGGCAGCGAGCACTGTATGGAAGGCGGAGCCCACAGGAGGGTGGAGATGTGTCTGCAGCCATTTCACTTCAAGGAGGAAGCCAGCGCTGTGCACTGTTCAGGACACCTTTCTACCATTCCTCTTAAACAGCTACCAGGAGGGATGATATATTCCTACACATGAAACTTTCCTCCTTATTCCGTGGTCTACATAGTACTTGTACAAAATAAGAACCATTGTTTGCACAAATTGTCTTATGAACAACATGCGAAAAGAAAGCCCCCAAACCCAGTTTTCTTTTAATTTTACTAATATTTTCCAAAGCAATGTTCTGCCCTCTGGTTTTGGTATGCTCTCTAGAATCCCAGTAGTATTCAAATAAATATTTCCAAGAAGTGAGATTAACACCTTTGTTTCTCCTGATTTCCTGTGTTCTCTTTCAAGATGGTGTTGCTGATGCCTACCTTGCCCTGTCAACTAGGTGAGAGATTAGCTTAAGACAGGTTTTAACAGAGCGATGAATTGAGATCATGGTAACCACACCCTTTCTCACATCACTAAACCCAGGAATTCAGTCTCACAGCAACAGAAAGCTGAAGAGTCTATGTTTCTTTGCAGGTTGTGCAAGAAGCTCTCTAAAGGACCTGGTTTGTGACACAGAGTCGCACAGAAGCCCACTCCGTGCACATACAGGTGGGTGGCAAGGTGAGTGTGAGACGTGAGTGCTCCGATCTGCCGCCGACCCTCCTGGGGCGCAGAGACGCTGCAGCCCAGGTGCTCGCCTCCTAACAAGCACCCAGAGAATACACGCTTTGGCCCAGGGTGAAGAAAACGCGCAGCCCGATCACGTTCTCTCCATCTACAGACAGTGCTTTGCACTTACATCTCATTGTAAGTGCAACATGTGTTCAGAAAAATGTGCCCCCAAGGAAGGCGTGCTTCCGGCCATGCCTGCACGTGCCTTACCTCTGCAGATGGGCCGGTGGTCGCTCCACGCCGCCAATGTCTCTGTGACCCTCTGGCAGGTGATGCCTTTGGATCCCTGGAGCACATAATTGTCCTCACAGGAGAACTGCACGTTTGCACCAACCCTGGACAGTTACAAAACAAAAAAACAATCAAAATTATTCACAGAAAACTCCTCTGAAAACAATCACCAGGCGGCTGCGGCACGGTGACTCGGCTAGAAGAGACGGAGCCATATGGTCTGCAGGCCACGCGCGCAGAGGCCGCCCTGTGACTCAGACACCTTACAGAACCACAGGCCAGGCGCTAACAAACCCAAGGGCCTCAACCTGTCACCTGTAAGTACAGAAAAGAGCCCAGGCGACCTCAGGGTCCTGCCACTTACACAAGGGAGCGTGTGTGAAGGAACGCTGTTTCCCAGAAACAAAACAAAGCCTGCCACCCCTCCAGGGTCCCTTCAAGAGCAAGTCTCAGGCGGTCCCAATGAAGGAACCGCCTCAGCCAAGGATCTAGACTCCCATCGCACATGTAAAACATGTTCAAAAGGAGGCCAGTGTCAGTGTGCTTCAAAAATAGATCTTACAGGAAAAGAGCCGTTTATTTAGAAGACAGCAATCCACCCAGCCTAGAGTTGGATGGAAAATGGCTTTGGCTCCAGAGAAGACTCTGCAAACATGAAGCCTGAGGGCTGGAGCATTAGCAAAGAATTGTTGCAGAGTAACAAGAGAGACCCAGGCTGGATCTGAACACACGCGTGACACGACTTCTCAGCCGCCGTCGGGCACTGAGTGGGGAGGGGTCTTGTTTCACTATCTGACAAGCCTGTTGTTACAGGCAGGAGCTCTGCTGTGTCTTCTGACTGGGAAACTGTGGGGTGGAGGTCGGGAAGAACGAGGGAGGCTGTGGGGCTGGAGCTGCTTAGCCCTCCCTGTAGGTGAATGAAATCAGTGATAAAAGACAAGGGGGAAAGAATCAGACGGGAAATCCTCATGCACCACATCACGCTGGGTGTCAACTGAGCAAGGTGGTGGAGACTCTTGCATCCAGGCAACCCTCTTCCTGGGGTAGACACAGGTGTACATGCACATCACCAAGCCAGGTCAAACCAGTTTGGAACATTCTGGGTTAAACAAAATTGAGCATCTTCCTTTTCCAGAAGAACTTCTCAGCTTAATAAAATTTATTATGCAAAAATGGGGAGGTTCACAGCACACAGGGCTTTTCAGACTTCCTTCTTTCCAGGAAGCCCACTATTCACCAAAGTCAAGAGCCACCGAAGTTCCATGGAAGCAACTTTCATAAGAAACACGTAATAGGTACGAATTGGTATTATTTTGAAGGTAAAAAGTATAAAACACAAACAATGCTTAGTTTCATTGCCAGTCACAAGAGGTATTTAAGACAGTTATCTGGAGACTTTGTTCTCCATAATTCCCCCCACCGACCTTCTTTGAACCTCTGAACCACATGGAGTAAATAAAATAAATCTAAGAATTTTGTTTTAAAAACAAGTTTCCTTCTTCGGGCTCCAATCTCTATTTCTTTCTATTTACTTAAATATTAGTTTCCGTATTTTCATCATCTTTTCAGTACAATGTTATTGAATATCTACTATGCCTCAGCCTGTCCTAGGCCCCGTATATGCAGAAATGAGTAAGACCGCCAAGCCCGATCTCCTGGAGACAGAGACCTGTCCAGGGAGGAGGGAACGATAACGATGAATAAGCATTAAGAAATGGAGGTGTCGTGGGGCTGCGAAGGACGGAGACCAGAGAGGTCAACATCGAGGGCAGGGAGCTGGGCCTGAAGGGTGGGCGGTCAGCTCTGATGAGCCTCCTAGACGGAGCTGCTGGCCTCTAATGCTCTTGGTCAAGGGTGGTTAAGTGCGGGGTGAGGGGCGGTTATGGCTCGACTGGGCAGCTGCTGCGGGTCCAGCAAGCTGTCCACCCGCCACTAGCAGTGGGCAGCACCTGCTCCAGCAGCGCCGCTACCTCCCTCATGCCCGCGGTGGGCGTCCATGGTCTCTCCAGATCGTGTCACTGAACTGCATCTGGACATCAGAAAATGCAGATCAAAAGTGCAGGAGATGTCCCCTCACCTCGCAGAATGGTCATCATCAAAGAGAAGGAGGCAGGTGTCAAGTGTCATCGAGAGGTGGCCGTGGGGAGCCCCTGTGCGCTGTGGCAGGAGGCGGCCAGTGCAGTATGGGGGGAAAGCCTGGAGCCTCTCGGAGGACGAAGGACAGCGCTGCACTGGGTCCACTGCCCCTGCAGGGCTCATGTGCCACAGAGGAGAACCCCGTGTGTGAAGACGGGGCTTTCCTGGGTTCACTGCAGATCACAGCCAGGTGCAGGGTTAACCTCAGTGTGCACCTAAGACCCACAGAAGAGGAAAGTGCCCTGCGCATTCCCATGGGACACAGCTCAGTGCCAAGCCAGAGGGCCTCCTGTCCTCTGCAACAACGTGGGGAGACCTGGAGGACCTCCCCTAAGGCACAGAAAGACGAGCACTGCATGACCTCCAGCACTGCGTGACTCACACGAGGACTCTGACAACAGAATCCACACACGCAGAGCACGGAGCGGAGCGGTGGCTACCAGGGGCTGGGGAGGGACGAGGTGACACCGGCCAAAGGACACGACCCTTGAGACAGGAGGAGCAGGAGGCCTAAGTTCAGAAGCCCTAAGGCGCACGCAGGGCTACGGATTGTTTACTTGGAAACTACTGGCACAGATTTTAAATGCTCTCTTGTCACACACACACACACACACACACACACACACACAAATCTTAAGTATGTGAGACAAAGGGTATGTTAAATGCTTGACTAGCCATCTACAAGGTGTACACATTTCAAAATACCATGTTGTAGATCATAAATATTAACAAATTTTATGTGATTTTAATAATGAAACAATAATATCACCATTGTGATAACTGGTTTCATTTTTGGCAATATGTTAGAGTCTTTAAACAAGTCTGGATGGTATGTCTGTCTTCAAAAATATGGAAAAACTACTGCCAACCGTGGCTTCAGAAGTCATGGACCTGCCCAAGGACAGGCTGTGTGTGACTCAATGATTTTTAGATACACATGAGAGAATACAATGCTGCTATGTAAAAGATGAAGTGGTGGTGCCTGCCTATCTTCCCAGTGGATCTGGAGGCTGAGGCAGGAGGATTGCAGGTTCTCGAGATTAGCCTCAGCAACTTAGTGAGGCCCTAGGCAATTTAGCAAGAACCTGTTTTAAAACAAAAAATAAAAAAGGGACTGGGGATATGGCTCAGTGGTTAAGTGCCCCTGGGTTCAAACCCTGGTACCAAAAAAAAAAAAAAAAAAAAAAAAAGACAAAAATGAGAATATGTGACAACATAGGAAAAAAAGAAGCATGACAGAAAATCGCATGCACCCCAGGTCCAAGGAACTGCACAGCTAACTCCACTCTGTCAGGAAGGACAGGCACAAAACTGTTCTGGAGTGGTGACGCCATCATAAGTATTTTCCCACTGTGCTAGTAATTGTGCTTCTCCTGATTTCACTACTTTGTAATTTAAATCATAAAGATGAACTTTGAAAAGCTAGGGTCAGCCTCTCTTCACTGGCTAAGGCACTGTGCACGTCCTCTGTGACACTTAACAGGGCTCCTGCTTTTCAGGGACTTCCATCAGACAGAAGTGAGCCCAGGAGCCTGGCCCACAGAGAGTCTCCAGGACCCCGCAGTCCCCGGCGTCCTGGGTGCTCTGGAGGGTCCTCTCAGGCACCTTCAGGCTGCGGAACACAGCGCTCTCCTAACTACTGCCAGGCATTCTTTTTGCAGATGACTGCAAACAGCCACCACTATGAATCAAGCTTCTTTAGATGACAATAACAATCTCGCTGTTTGATAGCAACTTAGGAAACGCGCCTAGAGGTGAGCTCATTCCCAGCAGCCAAGCCCAGGAGGGGGCCACTCACTGCAAAGGGTCAAGTCACCATTGGAATGGAAAATGACTCAACTTCTACTTTATTAACTCCAGCTTTTGCTTTGGCTTCATCTAGCTCAGGAAGCTCTTCAATATAAAAGCCACAGTGCACTCTACTTCAAATGTATAGTGTACTAAGGTTCCATTGATCTGTGATTACTATATTTGAAATAAAATGTGTTAAATATAACATTTATATTATTCAATTTGGTTTTCTCAGAAGGATTCATAGAAGAAAATTTCAGAAAAAATATAGCTTTCCATTGGCAAATAAATTTAGAATAACTGAGATTAATTATGTTATATAATTCAAATAATTATCAGTAGTTGGGAACAGTAAGAATTAACAGCAAAATGATTTCTATAAGATCAAGATATATTAGTGTTCGAATTAGGCACCCAAGTGGAAAACTTTAAGTTAAACTGTGAAAGTGGGAGAATTTTGTCTTTTAAATAAAATATGATAAAAAATACATTTTTTTTTCCACCTCAGTGCTTAACACTACTGAAAACCCCATCACTTGACTTGATTTCTAAAGACATTTCTTCATCATTGACTACTTACCTTCACCAGAGTAGGAAGAGCTTTCTAAGTGAATGAACCACTTCTAAATGGAGCAATTCTAAAATGAACTCCTTTTAAACATGACTTTCTCAGAGAGTGGCTATCTCCAGATCTATTTAACATTGATACCACAACTGCTTCTGGGGGGAAAAAATCTGAAGTGACTTAACATTTAACTAGAGTCCAAAAAATGCAGATGTGCTGATGTCCACCCACCACTGTTGACCAGGTCCACCCACCTGACTGGCTGCACCGAGGTTCCCACCTCCTCCCTCAGCCCACACCAGCTGGCTTCTCCGGAATCCATGGAAGCTGTCCATCACCCCACGTGATGTTTTCTTCTCTAGTAGCTTTTGTTTTTAATTAACACTTGCTGATTGTGTTTATGAGTACAGTGGCATTTGAATGTGTGTGTTCCTGTGCGATGGTCAGGTCAGGTCAAGGAGCTCCTTCCTTCCTCAGATGTGGCTCACCTGACGCTGTTCCCAGGGGAACAGAGCTGTGTGGCGGGGTGAGGGCCAGGCACACTCAGGCCTATGCGCTCTCCTGCAGGTTACCCCCCCACACTGGGGACCTCGGCACGGCCTGGGTGGGCCA